CTTTGGTGAGAAAATACTTTACATTACACTGCCCCCTTAAGGTCAGTCCAAGGTTTAAAAATAATTGTCAAGGACTGTGTTTTTTAAAACACTGAAGTCAAGTTATAAGAGAAAATAATTCCAGAATGTAGTCTAACATATTAATGAGTATCCTCTTTTTTTTGCCTCCAAATGCAACAACACAGACACAAAATATTTGTTTCTCCCCTGTAACAAGCTGGCTGTGTGGCTTTAAACGAAGGGGGGGAAAACCACAGGACACCTATTTTTGGAGGTCTTAGGTTTACCAGCCATTGTTTCATCTGTACACGCTTTCATCAACACAAAAATCTCTCTGCATCAGAAGCACCAAGAGAGATCTAAAAAAAGAATCTAAGAATTTGAGACGTCCACCTCCAAGGGCTGTTTATGCTTCACCTAGAGAATACAGAGAAATCACTACTCATCTAACCTATTTCCTGAAAGGAAATTGCCTCAATGGAGCTCATTTCCCTCGCCTTTTACCTTGCATTTTTAAAGCAATTGGGAGCTAAATATGAATATTCACAAACTATACCTGCAGAAAGGCTTGAATAATGGAATGTTTAAGAAATCTGAAAGAAAAAAAAAAAGCTATCAAAGTATAATCAAGTGCAATGCATGTGTGTGGAATAAAATATGCATGACGATTTGGCTTTAGGAAAGTCAGAGCAAAACCATTCTCTGAAAAAAAAAAAAAAAGGCTCATTGAGATTCCTTTCATTACGAGCACGGCGCTGCAGAGAGGCACAGAATGGGACCGACAGACAGAAAAAAAGATGAGAGCAATGATTTCAGATCACACAGGCTGGAGAACCGTTGCATCATATTTTAAAATATCATCACACTTGAATTGTATTGTAAAACATTAATACCCTTGAAAGAAAAATATTGTACCCCCAACCCATTTTATTGTGATTCGTTACAATATCATCCAGTGAGGCCAACTGCCTTCAGAGGTCACCTAATTAGTAAATATAATCCAACTGTGAGCGATATAATCTCCGTATAAATCCAGCTGTTCATTGAAGAGCTCAGAGATTTATTTGCCTTGAAAGAAAATTAGCAAACAAACCGTAGACCTGCTCTTATCTTATCTTCCACACATGCACACAGGAAGGATCTGACAATACAGTGATATGAATTCCATACGATTTGCCTTTTGAAATATACACAGCATTGTAAATAGTCTTAAAAAGCATAAAACAATAGATCAATCAGAAAAAAAAAACTTAAAGCAGATATTACTCCATGGAAACCTCTTATCTGAATCTAGTAGAATGATGAAGAAGTCAAACAATATTTCATCCTGCAGTGATCATGTAATAACATAAACAAGACTGGTAATGCGCTGTTGGTGGGAGATTTGAACCCATTCCGAACACAGATAGCCATGCTCAGCAGATCATCTGCACTTCTTAACTTGCAGTTATCTAACATAACAACTCAACATAAAATAACATCACGGCAGTATATGAAAGATTTTATTCCGTCTGATGCATGCCGCTTATGTCACCCATCAGAACTAGTTTAGCTTTTTCACCCCTGCTCTCCCCTCTTTGTCCCATATATATATATATATATATATATATATATATATATATATATATATATATATATATATATATATATATATNTATATATATATATATATATATATATATATATATATATATATAAGCCTTTCCAACCAGCATCTCTATTATGCACTAATGTTAGCCACAAATTCATCATGTTTTTTCTAAAGTCACCATGAACTAGTACTTATGATGATGAAAAAAAAATAACATATTGACAAAGATTTCACCAGAGTGTTTGAGGTTAAAGTCAACCATCAGCCTAACTATTAGTGGGGTTTTGGAATACTGGGGCTGCATAGGTAGGATACGCAGGATAGGGTTCGGAGTTGAAAGCTTATTATTGGGTATGGATTATGCCAGGGTTGAGGTTTCTTAGATCCTGGCTGGATAGATGACTCTAGCTTGGCTGGCTTAGTTTTTTCCCCAGATTCCCCAGATTCCCCCTCCAGCCCATGCTGTGGCTGCATAGTGGTGCTGTATTGGTTTGGCTGTTTTGGGACAAAATAAGAAATCAGCATCTTGGTGTGATTCGCTATTGTCTTTTTACCATCCTCCTCTGCCAGTTTGTGTCATGCAAGCCTGCACCAACTGACTCCATGGCTGTTTAACAAGCTGCTATAGGAACACACATACACTAATGCCCAGGGGAAAAAATAGCATATTGTTGAAATATCAACAGAGATGATTTATCAAGCACTAAATCTTAACTAATACTGATATTAAAGCTGCTAAAAAGAGATGCTGCCAAAGCGCATTTTGTTGTGTTCTGTACAATGACAGTAAAGCTTCTTTGTCTCCATGCTTCTACCTCTGTGAATGTGTTGGTTTAGATGAAAATTGGAGATATATAGAAGACCTGCAGGTGTCTGATAGTGTAAAAGGGAGCTAGGGATGCAGAGATATGTTGTGCTCTGGTGCCCATTATTCTTGTTTGACATCCCACAAACTAGCTTACCATGCCGTCCTTAATTTGGTTTATCAAAACTCTGACTGGTGCAATGGGCTGGTGAATGCTTGGCATGTTGGGGACTTTGGTAGGGGGGTGTTATGTCAAATCCTTTGCCTAGGAGCTGCAGTTCCCTTTACTTACAACCAACATACATATGTTTTCGGAGGGCGTTTGGTTGCCTTGGGTGATGAACTTTCCCCTCTGAAGATAGGTCCACCTGCCCTTTGCTGGTTTCTGATGATGCAGGCATTCCACCCCTTTAACAACTGTGCACCTCCAGATGACACTATTTATTTTTATACAGGACTTCTGAAATGTTCCAAAACCAGTGTGAGAAATAAGGGAGAGAACATTATTATGCAAACCCAGGAACACAAAATAAGGTTCAGGGGAGATGCTTGAGTCAGGATAAAGTTCTAAAAGTTGGTTCCGTCAGTGAGCTTCAGGGCAGCTGTGGCTACAGTGTAGTTTGCCACCATCAGTGCGTGAGTGTGTGAATGGGTGAACGACTGAATGTAGTGTAAAGATCCTTGGTCAAGTCTTCTGACTTGAAAAAGCGCTATATATATGTACAGGCCATTTTATCATTTATTTACCATAAAACAACATCACTTTAATTCCTCTTACAGGAAAACAAACAAAAACATGACACGGCCACAAGCATTAATCACAGAAGCAGTTAGATAAACCACCACAGGTGGGAAGCTCTGTCCACAGTCAGACACTCCACAAATCTGGCCTCCATGTTAGAGTAGCAGGAAGAAAACATTTGTTGATGGAAAGCCATGAGTAGTTCAATTTTCTGTTTTCCAAAAAAAGCTTATTGTACACAGCATACACACAGGCCACATTACATTTTTGACTTGCATGCAAATGTGTTTCAGAAAACGAACAGAATGCATTATCACGAAAATACCATTCATCATGTTTGTGACTTTTAAGCAGGCAAAAGGGAAGTGTTTTGTGTAGGCGAGTTGGATAGAGGTACAGCTTACATACAGCTTATTGCTTAAAGGTATAGTGGAGGATGTTCGTTTTCTGGGTGGATCGTCAAAGTAAGTGTACCTCCTTATTGTCAATCATTCTGGTGATATGTTAACTTAAGGCCGTCCTACTTGCTTTTGCCCATTTTCACCTAACCCTATGCAGAGACATATCTGGTTGCTAAGAATTATCTCCCCTCAGATGAGAAAACAGATTGAAATATGAGCAAAATGGGGAATTTCAAACATATTCTTAATGTTTTCATTTGTCTTATGCATGAATACCCTAAGATTTATTTTTTGTGGACAGATAAATTAGAATGAATATGATTTTTATTTGTATGGAGACAAGTTTTAGTCAATGTGCAAAAGTCAGTGTCCCATGAAAGTATTCTCTGCTCAGTGGATGGCATTTCCTGCTTTTGCTATCATACCATTCTATATAATTTCTGAAAAAACATTAAGAATATGCTTAAAAGTTTCGTTCTTCATTCATATTTCTATCTGTTCTTCTTTTTAAGTAAGCCTTTATGAACATTGCAGACAGCATCTTTTAAACAGAGCATGCAAAGGTAGAAATGGGCTTGCGCATGCTCTTGTATGGGTTTAATAGACATTCCCTCTCGGGAGCGAGTACAGGGTTGTGCATGTGCATTTTTTTTTTTCTTAAAGTCCAGACCAGGAAAGATTCAGGATTTAATAAGATTTAGTTCAGCTTACAAAGAAAAAAAGTTAATATTTACATCTTTGCAAACCAGCTTTACTTCAAACCTTGGAACAAAAAGAACAGTTTTGGAAAGTATTGACACTTTTCAGGTGTTTAGAAATCACATATTTTCTCTCCACTTCACTACTTTGTTTTAGTGTATTATTAAATGTCCCAATAGAAACCACTAAGCCTGTCATGATTCTGCCATTTGTGGACTTTTTGTTTCTGTTTAAGTTTCTTTTTGAGTTTTCAGTTACACTTTGATTTTTGTCATTCTGTGTTTTCTTGGATACTGGTTTATTTTCCATTTTGTGTCAATCTAGTTGTTTTGCAGTTATATTTAAGCAGCGTTGCATTTTTTGAGTTACTCTCTATTTCCCCTTGTGCCAGTCTCCTTTCCCCTAGTTTTCTCGTTGCTACTATCCACACCGACTCCCTATCAGCAGATTATCCCCGTCTTTGTTCTGTCTCCCATTTATACACCTCCTGTGCAGTTCCTCATTACTGGAATCTCCTTATGGCTTCACTCCTCATGCGTGTTTCTCCCTTGGCGTTGCCTGGTTTTGGTTTCCTTCCTGTTAATTCTTCCTGGATTTATGCTTCTGTCGCCATCTGCATCTAAATTTAATCTGCAAGAACTCCTCTCTGCCTCGTCATCTCTGCATTTGGATCCTCAACTCACTTCCACCCAACCTCACAAAGGTTTGTGTTTGTAATTTGGAAAAAAGTTCAACTTTTGAACCGCATGCAGAACAAAACACAGACTCCTCAAAAGGTAAGCTTTAAGTCATTTATTTACAGAGTTGCTCTGCCTTAATCGAGAATGATGTGAAGTCTTAATGTAAAAAGTGCGGTCGAAGCAGATAATATTTTCAAACAAGATGCATAAAAGAATCCTAATAATTGTATTTACTTCTCTCTAACAAACAAAAAGCCACAAACACATGAAAATCAAACCTTTTTGTTTCTTAACAGGGAATTTAATACCACAAAAAAAGAAGCATGATCCTGCAGGTTTCTCTCGTCACATTTACAAAAAAAATATCTAAAAGCTGAAAGTCAAGCTCTTACTCTGGAATCTCCCAGAGATAGACTTAAAAACACACAAAAAACAATAGGGAATGTAGAATCCTTGAACATCTGTACAGTTATAGTGTGTGATACAATATGATGATACAAGTAGATAACTCCATTGAATTCTTCTCACTCATGGCGCATAATGGCAAATATGTTTCTCATCAGTATAATTATTGCAATGGCTTTCAATACGTTAAAGTTCATGGGTTGTTGTCACATGTAGTTTCCTCGTCGATTTGCTGCAGCACGCCTGCATCACATAGCTGATGGCTGGCCGGCTAGGAATAGACAGAATAAATGAACATTACATTTTTTTTTAAAAAGAAAAAAGAAATCCTTTACCAAGTTGGCTTAGCTGGATCGATGACTCACTTTTGAATCGCATGTAGCAAGTGTTACAGTAGAGCTGTTTGTTTCGTATTCTGACTTCAGCTCCGGCCTCAGTTCCACCGAGGTCTGATTTACAGTCGATGCACTGTGTGGGTTCAAAGTGAGAGGAGAGTCAAACATGGCATACATGGAAAATAAAGCATCCACAGAGGCTGTGATGAGGACAGACAGGCCACAAAGCTTCATTAAGGGTGAAGAAAAAGTGAAGAACAGTCAGTTGTCAAGATACAGATCCAGGAGATCAGATATGATTGAAGAACAAAGTCCCTGAAAAGTAAAGATCTCAGAGATTGAAAGGTTTGAATAGAGAGAAGAATTTAATTCCCAAAAGTTAGTAAAACTAGAAAAAAAAGTTTAGAGTGACCAAGTTAGTATCTCAGGATCAGCCACGGCATGCAGATGACACCCTCCACTGTGCCGTCAGACGTCCTCCAATCTCACCTTAAAACAGTTCAAATGATAACAGAGCCCAAGGGACTCGATGATCATGGCTGCTCCCTTTCCCAGCGGGGTGTCGCAGAACGTGCAGATTTTCCTGCCACTCACTGACCTGGGTTACAGAATGGATAGCTGTGATTTTAGAGCGGGGCACATATGCAGCGGTGCATGTGTGACTGCAAGCACACATTAAATATATGGTTATGCTGTTAAACATCAAAGCTGAATTCCTTTTCATCATTTGCATTGCAGTATGGCTGCTTTGATTGTCAGGTTGTAGTTCATCCAGTATTCAGATTGAAGAATTAAAGAGAAAATTTTTTAACTGGCATTTACTCAGGTTTAAGGTCATCTTTAGAGTGCTGGACAGAGGTTAACTCAGACTTGTCAGCGTTAATGTGATATGTATTTGAGGCTTTTTATGATTCATCAAAATCATTTGTTTCCCATAGTGGAATGGATAAACAACACACAATTTCAAAGGATTTTTGACAACAAGAAAGTATAAAATCTGACATTTATTGTGGATTAATTTTCAAAATATACTCAGGTTTAAATAAAAGTAAACAACCCTGTTAATACCTGTTTATACAGACCATAGCAGGAACCAGTATCAAGGGTCTCATTTATAAAAATTGCCTATGCAAAAAATTGACTTGCCCGTTATCTATAAAAAACAAGCTTGGTGTAAAAAAACAAAACAAAAAGTGTGATCCTGTCCATCCGTACAGGTTTGCATGTATTGGAAACGGGGGAAATTGGTGACTCAGTTGGTGACTGAGTGACTGAGGTGAAGAAATGAAGTCAATTTGCATCGTAAGTTCTCTCAGATGTTTAATTTCACTTTTATTGTAGACTGACTTTATCGTTTCCAGTGGCTGTGTGAAAGAGGAATAGCCATGAGGTGATGAATCTAATTGTTGCAAAACAATGTCATAACACCATGTTGGAAATAAACGTTTTACTTTGCTTTTGCCAGACCCTATCTGGCCATGACAGAGGTGTCATTCATTTTTTTTTTTTTCCTTTTCAAGGTTTTTATTTTCATTACATTGTCACAAGTACAGAGCAACGAAATGAACCCTCTGCATTTAACCCATCCCCTTGGGGAGAAGTGGGTTGCCATTGTGCGGCACCCAGGTAGCAGTGTGAGGTTATGGGTCTTTTGCTCACGGACCCAGAGTTGCAGTCTGTGGGAGTGGGGCTTAAACTCAGAACCTCTGATTCCAAGCGCAAAGCCCTAACCACTAGGCCGCCACTCCTGGAATGAAAAAAAAAGATAATTAAACATCGTTGATCTCACAATGGAGAAGTTGACTTCTGCATCTTAACCCATTCCCTTGGGGAGCAGTGGGCTGCCACTGTACGGGTTGCTCAGGGACTCAGAGTGTAGGCTGTGGGGATCGAACCAGGTACTTGCAACCTTCTCAGAGCTCAAATGCGCTGCTTTAACCATTAGGCTACCACTGTCCTGAACTAGTCGTAAGTCAACGTATAATCACAAAAGTTGTGAAAATATTCTATGAAGATTGAAAAGTTACTTAGTGTTGGTTTAATATAGCCTCGTGAGACCATCCTGATCTCGCAAGTTTTCAAGGTTTCACTCGCAGATCAGTC